TTGGAATATTTTTGTTACTAGTAAAAAGTATAAAACATGACCCAAGCAATAGTATGGTGCATTTAGAAGTGCACAAATAACGTCTTCATTGATACAGTAAGATCAGTTTTTTTGCGAAGTTCTTCATCGCCTTTTCTGTAACTATTTCATGAAGCATCCAGCAACAAAATCGAAATTGCCTGGGTTTAAATCCCCAAGGTGAGCTCAGATTTTGTCTTTTGAAACATGCTTACTACAAAGGCTCAACATCTTGTTATCGAGAAACGTTTTTCCTTACAGCAACTAAGACAACCTTGATTACTGTCACCAGACTTCTTCCATGTTTCTTTGTCCATGTTTCTGATTAATTTGGTTAAAATTAATGAATTTGTAATTTTGACATGCAGATTGTTTTCTGTACATTGCTTTGACCCTGTTTGGTACAAAGAATTGGATTTGAAGCCCTACTGGAACCAGGTAATTGTTGTATTTCTTATTCGAGTTTAGTTTTGTTCAAACAATAGAGTGTCTGTAGTTTAAAATTTAAGCCCCGTTAAAACGGTCATGATAGTTGATGATAGTTTCGAATATCACGCGCGTTTGAACACGAACTATCATGCACCATCATCGACTATCATGTAGTTTGAACATATTCAAATTTGACATGGTAGTTGATGATAGTTTTTACCGTTTGAACGAGCAGATGATAAAGATTGATAGTTATGCGGCAGCAGTTTGCCAAAAACGGGTTCAAACCGAAATGGAAAATGGTGAGATGATTTAAATAGCCGTCAAAATTTCGTGTTATGTCTCGTAGTTTATTCTTGTCATGTCCTGGTAGGCTTCAGTATCTTCAACCCGCATCTTCTTGGTTAGAATTTCAAATACCACCGAAATTGCTGACCTCGTCGCGCGCCACATTTGTCAACAATTACGCGGTCTCACTGCGTGATTTTGGCAGCTATTATCAACTATCATGAAGCGTTTGAACGCAAACATGATAGTCTATTATAAAATGTTCAGAGAAATGCGCGCGCCGTGATTGGTCAGAACGAAGAAGAAGTGCGAGAAGCACTCGCCTTAGGCTCGTGCTTCTCCGCACTTCTCTCGTGTTATTAAAAATTCCCGTGTGTTTATAAAACTTAACAATACACTCGGCGTGTTTTTTATTTCCTTAGGATAGTGAAGGAGAGTTAAAACTATCGTCAGCTATCATCAACTGTCAATAAATCATGACCAGTTGAAGGGGCTTTAAGCTTTAATCGTACATAAGTCAAACTTAAATAAAACTAGGAAACTCTGTAAAATTAACAACTTTCGGTCTAGGCAACGAAGAGGGTCACGTGAACAGGATAATCATACGCCAGATTATTGTCAAAAATATCTGAACTGGTTCGAACAAAGTTTTGCCGTGTCAGCAAAATAGAAATTCATGCTTTATCCCGTGAATACGAGAAAAGGTGAGAAGCTTCAAGTCGTGTGAAAATTAATCGCACAAGAATTCCTTTGTTTCCTCGTTTTGAGACGCTCGAAATGACTTACAAGCGTCTTCATACTCGACTCGAACGTCTCGAAACTCCACTCGAGCCTCGATCCGCGAAGTTTTCGAAAATTGAGGATCGAGAATCGAGTTTCGAGGAACTGTCAACTTAGTGTTGAGCGGTACTATAGGTGTGCTTGCATTTAAAGAAAAAATTGGGTGTGTTTGTGAAAACTTTCATTGATGCCATGGCAAGTTGAGAAGAGGATTTCAACCTGATCAGGCATAACAGGGCATTTGTTAATGCCGATATTTTACTAGACTATTATATTTTCATTTTCCCTTATTCGAACTGTTCTGGCTTCATGTTTTTAAAGGGTTAAATCAGTACGTTTGAATTACATGCTGATATCCATGCGTCTTTCTGCCCTCTCCAGATAACAGATGAAACATTGGATCATCTTCAAATTTGTTGTGCTTCCACAGAAAAGTTGGACATGTCCTGGTTAGGACCTTATGACGCTGTTACCCGCCATGGAATTTCTAGGTATCGTATTTGTCCTTTGGCTCTTGTTCTGACCGTCCAATCACAAATCCTGGATTTACCCTGCCTAATTCTTATGTTGCAATTATTTTCCCATGTATCAAAGTTAATAGTCGAGTAGAATAAAGAATGATAGAAATGAAGGTTTCTCTTAAGAAGTTCAACTGTGTTTCTTTTCACAGATTTCTGCGGAAGTGTGGAAGTAACCTTGTGTGTTTAAGATTAAGTTGCTGTCAGTTTGTGGACGGTGAAGTGATTAAAACCATAAGCAAGTTTTGTCCCAATTTGGAAGGTTTGTTCCTTTTGAAAATTGTCTCATTTTTCTGTTTCTTTTCTTCTCGGTTGAAAGTATAACTTTAATATGAAAGAAGTAGGTCACGCAATAAAAAAAAGGCAGCAACAACAAATGTACCTTTTCTAGAGAGGGACCACAAAATATTGATTTAATAAGATTGAAAAAGGCCTAAATTGGAAGAAAAATAAAAAAGGAACAAATTTGGTGGAGAATTTAGAGGTTGACATGGAATCCAGATAGTGAACGCAAAAAAAAAAATATACTAAATTTAGAATACGAGCAGCCCCTCTTGCGTACCGCGTAGCCTCACAAGTAGCCTCACTCCCAGAGTCCCTTGCGGCGCGCTCACAGCGATGGATTTCGCTGATAACGAGGCGCTGCTATTAGTCTAGCCTACATTTTTTTAGGAGAAACAAACTTTCACATAAATCTTATGTTTTGGTTTGCTAAAAACATTTTAGCTCAGTCAAACTGATCATACAAATACTAACAGAAGAACCTCCGCTCACTCGAACTGCTAAGGGAATG